GGCCATCTTCCACTGCTTTCTCAGGCCATAGCAGAGAGCTGGATTGGAAGAGGAGCAGCTGGGTTTTGAACAGGCACCCAGATAGGATGCTAGAACTGCAGGTAGTGGCTTTACCCACTACGCCACAGAGCCAGCCCTATTATTGACATATTTATTTGAAAGGCAGAGCAACAGAGAGAGGAAGAGAGAGAAGGAGATAAAGAAATATCTTTCATCTGCTGGTTCACTCCCCAAAGGACCACAGTAACCAAGTATGAACCAGGCCAAAGCCAGGAGCCAGGAACTCCATCCTGATCTCCCTATCAGGGGCAGGGGCCCAGTTAGCTGGGCCATCTTCTGCTGCCTTCCAAGACACATTAGTAGGGAGCTGAATTGGAAGCAAAGTAGCCAGGACTTGAACCAGTACTCCGATATGGGATGCCCGTATCATGATCAGCAGTTTAATCCACTGTGCCACAACACTGGCCCCAGGGCATCTTTTAAAAGATGAAGATTTTTCAACCATAGAGTTGTCTTCAGATTAGGAATAGTAATCCATCACCAACCAAGAAATGTTATTTATTTTTTTAGAAAAATGCTTCGAGGTTTTTGTTCCAAGGGTTTTTATGACATATGAACTATATCTCAATAAGGCTATTATTTATTTATTTTTCATTTTATTTGAAAGGCACAGACAGATGAAGAGAGATCTCCCATCCACTGGTTCACTTCCCAAATGCCTGCCATAGCCAGCCCAAAGCCAGGAGTTCAGAACTCCATCCAGGTCTTTTACACAGATGGCAGGGACCAAGTACCTGTGGTCTCCCAGGGTGTATATTAGCAGGAGCAGAGTAGCCAGGACTCACCCAGGCACTCTCCTTAGGGATGGCACCCACAAGTGACTCTCTCTGTACCACACACCCCCCTCTGTAACACAAAAACACAAAAAAAAGCTAAAAAAATATCTCTTTGGCCGCCCGCGGCTCACTATAGGAAAATCCGCCTTGCGGCGCCAGCACACCGGGTTCTAGTCCCAGTCAGGGCGCCAGATTCTGTCCCGGTTGCCCCTCTTCCAGGCCAGCTCTCTGCTGTGGCCAGGGAGTGCGGTGGAGGATGGCCCAAGTGCTCGGGCCCTGCACCCCATGGGAGATCAGGATAAGTACCTGGCTCCTGCCATCGGATCAGCGCGGTGCGCCGGCCGCAGTGCGCTGGCCGCGGCGGCCATTGGAGGGTGAACCAACGGCAAAGGAAGACCTTTCTCTCTGTCTCTCTCTCTCACTGTCCATTCTGCCTGTCAAAAATAAAATAAAACAAAATAAAATAAAAATTTTAAAAAGTATATCTTTAGTATATAAAAACTAAGTAATCATAAAATGCAAATGATAACTCAGAAGATGAGAATAAAAATAGTTATCCAGGATTCTATTATAAAGTACACTAAGCACAAATTTATTTTAGGATGTAAACCAAAGGAACATTTTATATATTAGCACAACAATATTAACACCTTGACCTTGATTGAGTCTCCTACATAATAATATATCTCATAGTTTATTCCAGGGCTTGGAAATTATAAAATTAAATATAAAATGAACTTTTAAAATATGTTTAAAAAATTTTAAATTCATTTTTTGAGAGGCAATGAGAGAGAGAGACAGAAACAGAGAGGGCTCCAATCTACTGGTTCACTCCCCAAATGTCCGCAATGGCTGGGGCTGGGCCAGGCCAAAGCCAGGAACCAGAAACTCAATTCAACTCACCCAAGTGGGTGACAGAAACATGGTCACTTGAGCAATCACTGCTGTCTCCCAAGGTCTTCGTTGGTAGGAAATTGGAATCAGGAGAAGTCTGGCACTGAACCCAGGTGCCGTGATGTGAGACATGCATGCCTTAACTGCTAGGCTAAGCACTCACCCTCTAAAACGAAACTTTTTAAGTTTATAACATCAAATTCTTTTTTCATATATAATATTCTTGCAAAAATATCTGAAGTGGTTGGCAGAGGAATATGTATAGGAGTAACCAGGAAAAGAAATAATCCTATAAAACAAATACTGAGGAGCAGACAGTAATTTTTTAAAAAAAGAAATGCTCAAGGGTATAAGAAGTAGACTAAATAAAAAATTCACACTTCTACTCTCAAGTTAGAAAAGGCATTTTCTCCCCTATCCATTGCATGGGTAGGGGAGAAAGCTACCAACACATTTAAAAAGATGCTTTTGCTAAGATACTTCCCGAAGAGAAGAAAATCATTGAAAACCAGAAGGCCAGGGAGTGGGAGGGGCTAGTGTTCAAGACGAAGCTGCACTTAGAAACTGCTCCCCAGCAGTCATCCTATCCAGAGCTGTGTAGCTGATCACCAATAATTGAGAGGGACAGAGCCCCATTTTGCTTCCACTTGTTTAAAGAAAACTTTTATAAGCAGAACTACCCAAAGGGCCATAGCAAAGAAAAGAGGTTCCACAGCGAACCCCACAGCACTGCTGGAAGCAAATATGTGAGTGTGCGTGAGGAGCTGTGACTGAAGCCCGAACGTGCACGGAAGGCCAGGCGCCTCTGAGCTCCTACAGCTCCATGCAGCTCCCCCTTCAGGGAGAGGACATTCCCAGCAATGGACCCCACTGGAAGCTTGAGGAATTCTAGATTGCTCCTCAGTAGTTCTCAACCTTCTGTGCACATTAAAATCTCTCAACAAAGTCTTTTTTTCTTTCTTAATACCAATGCCTGGATGCCACCATGATCAACTCCATCAGAATCCCTGGTATGGAGCCCTGGCATTGGCATTGGGTTCTAATGTGCAGCCAGTGCCCAGGCTCAGTATCCTAGAAAAATGCTGGGAGAAGTCCAGGAAGACTGCAATTCCTGGGTGTCTGAATTTTAGTTACAACAGAAAATTTTTTTTTCAGGAAGATCAACTATTTTTGCTAATGCTAGGCGGCCCTTCTCGTGTGCTGGCATATTCTGAAACCCCTCAAGGTTAACAGCAATACCACTATTTATTGAGCACTTACCTGGTGCCAGGTGCCCTGCTACCCCCTCCCCTCACCGCCCCCCCCATCACTAATCCTCATGATTCTGCTAAACAAGTGGTAAGCCCATTAATGAGACTAAGCCCACAAGGATGGGTTAATTTGTCCCCTATCACAGAGCAAGCAGGTGCAGAAACTGGAACGAGAACCCACACTGATTATTGTCGCTCCCCCTCTTCGTGGAGGAACGACACAGGACCCTGCGTTGTTCTTTTGTCTGCTCGGCCCTTCCCAGGTTAGCTGCTGGTTCTTCCCGGGTTGGCTACCGTCCCTTCCACCTGCGTGGAAGGGCGGTTCCCCTGCCACTTTCCCCACTTCTGCGGGGGAGCGGCACACCGCCGGCCGGCTCTCTCAGGGGCTGCACAGGTGTTTCTTCAGATAGATGTTCCTCTTAGATGTTCCTGGTGCATGTTGTCTCTCTCCTCCTTTATAGTCCTCTTCCACCAATCCGTGCTCTGCTACCCACGCGCCGAGTACGCTGCTCTCCTCCAATCAGGAGCAGGATCAGCTCCTGGAGGTCATCACTCAAGTTGGCAAGAGGCAGCTGCGTAGAAGTTGTTACTCCCTTCTCAGCGCCATATTGTGGGACAGCAGATGCATAGAATAAGTCTTAATTCCAGTAACTCAGTCTAGTCCGAGTTGCTCCCAGTTGCTCCCCACAGATTATAAAGCCATGCTTTTCACTTTCTTTTAATTTTACATATATGTGTTTTGAAAGTAATATACTCACAGGTTTCACAGGTCTTTATAAAGCATAAAGGTACATAAATTATGCATAAGGCACATAAAAGATCAACTTCACTCGCAATTTTTCCTGTTACAACTGAAGTTCAAATTTGTGGCAACCACAATCATCTTTGATTCCTGCCACTCCCCTCTCTTATCACCCAGTCATCAACTCTCACCTGGCCAATCAGCAGTTTCTTGTGTACCATTCCAAAGGTACTGACACAAACACACACTTAAGTGTGTCTGTAGATGCCATGTATTTGGGCTCTGCCCACCCCGTTTTAAATAATGGTAGATTTCACACACTGCTTTGCACATGTTTTTTCACTCTCACAGTGCAACTCAGAGATAATTCCATATAAATACAGTCTTTTAGTCCATTAGACAAACACAACACCGCCTTTTATTTGAAAGGAGAGTTATAGGGAGAGGGAGAGACAGAGAGAGAGATACATTCCATCTGCTGTTTTACTCCCTAAATAGTCACAATGGCCGGGGCTGCGCCAGGTCGAAGTCAGGAACTGGAACTCCATCTGGGTCTTCCATGTGGTTGGCAAGGGCACAAGTACTTGGGCCATCTTCTCCTGCCTTCTCAGATGCATTAGCAGGGAGCTGGATCAGAAGTGGAGCAGCCAGAACTTGAACCTGTGCTCATATGGGATGCTGGTGTCACAGGTGGTAGCTTAACCTTGCTGAGCCTAACACCAGCCTCAAACCTTTTTTTTAACCGGTCCCTTATGAATAGACATTAGATTGCTTCCAGTTATTTGCTGCTATTAAAAAAAGTTATAATGAATAAACTCAAAGCTACATAATTTTACAAGCATGTACAAGTAGTTACTCATGTAGGGTAAATTCTGAGCTGTCAAAAGGCATGCCCAGGGGCTGGCACTGTGGTGCAGCAGGTTAAGCTGCTGCCTGCAGTACCCGCATCCCATATGGGTGCTGGTTTGAGTTTCAGCTGCTCCACTTCTGATCCAGGCCCATGCTAATGTGCGAAAGCAGCAGAGGAGGCCCAAGTACTTGGGCCCCTGCACCCACGTGGAAGACCCAGAAGAAGCTCCTGACTCCTAGCTTCTGCCTGGCATAGACTTAGCCATCGCAGTCATTTAGGGATTGATCTAGCAGATGGAAGATCTCTCTCTTTCTTTCTCTTCTCTCTCTGTAACTCTTTCAAATACATAAATCTTCTTCTTCAAAAAAAGGCATGCCAATTCCACTAGCCCATGCTACCTCAGGCTTCCAAGAAACTCACAGCCAGACTTACAATGACTTCTGTTTATTTTATTTAAAAACTTCACCTAAAATATCCAAGTATACTTTTCATTTTATTAAAAATTAGAAATAATTTTTCAGGACATACTCAAAGACCCAAACAGTCTGAAAGGCAGTTGTAGGCCAAAGTAAAATGACTTTGAAACCAGCAGCACAGTGTGTGGCTCCTCCTTTCCTCTCAGAAGGTGTCTGTTCCGGAGGACTCCGTGTCCCCGCGCCCCGTGCTGACACTCGGAGACTGAGAGCAGTCCTCCAGCTTCACAGAGGGCAGCGTCACCGACATCTTGGCAGGCGACGGCTGTGGAGCAGCTTTACCACCTGCGTGGAGGAGAAACTTATTCAGCCAAACAAGCAGATCTGTGGTATTTATGTGCTTTTCATTTTCCTAAATACTACAGGGAGATAAAAACAAGGATCGCATGCAGGAACTTCGCTTCTCCAGGTGCTAAGAACTTGTCAGAGAAATAACATACACCCTTCCTCCTTTCCACTCTCACTTCCAACCGTCAAAAACAACTTTAAAAGTCTGCAAGTACTAAAGGGCTGACACGGATGATAAATGTCAGGGAAGACAGAGTGTACTCTGGAATCCAGGCAGCTTCTTACTAGCTGCATGTTTCAGGAAAGTGATTTTACCACTCAAAAGTTCAGTGTGCCCATATGTTAAACAGGATGACAATATGAGGGATCTCCATAAAGTTCATGGAAAATATGTATTATGGGGGCCAGCACTGTGGCATAGCAGGTAAAGCCACCACCTGCAGTGCCAGCATCCCATATAGGTGGCCAGTTCAAGTCCTGTCTACTCCACTCCCTATCCAGCTCTCTGCTATGGCCTGGGAAAGCATGAGGACTGCAAGAACCAGCGTTGATGCTGGCAAGAGTGAACTGCCCCAAATGGTAGAGTTAGAAACGTGCCAGGGGATTCCAATTCAATCCTATCAAAGTGGCATGTACCAATGCCATCTCACTAGTCCCAGTGATCAATTTCTGTTCATAATTGATCATAATGATAGGAATAAGAGTCAAAGGGATCACATATACAAGACTAGTGTCTGCTAATACTAACTGATAGAATTAAAAAGGGAGAGAACGATCCAACATGGGAAGTGGGATACACAGCAGACACATAGAATGGCAGAAGTCCTAAACAGCACTCTGGCCTCAGAATCAGCCCTTAAGGCAGTCAGATCTGACTAAAAAGCCCATGAGAGTATTTCAGGCATGGAAAGCGAGGACACTGTGGCAAAAACAAACAAACAAACAAACACCACAAAACAAAAAACCTAAATAAAAGATCTCAGCAAGTGAGATCCCAGTGGAAAGAACAGGTCATCAAAGAAGGAGGTACCTTTCTCTGAAGGGAGGAGAGAACTTCCACTTTGACTATGACCTTG